TTTCCTGTTCATTTTTGCGTGAGTGTGAATGCGTGTTAAATTTTTAGTGAGTGAGCACCGTGCTCATGTTTGCGTGAGTCTATATGCCTGTTCATGTTTTAATGAGTATGCTTGTGCGTTCATGTTTGCGTGAGCGTGCGTATTGGTTCATGTTTGCATGAGTGTGTAAGCGTGTTCATGTTTGCGTCAGCGTGTGTGTTTGTTCATGTTTGCGTGAGTGTGTTTGCCTGTTCTTGTTTGCGTGAGTAAGCACGTGTGATCATGTTTGCGTGAGTGAGCATGCGTGTTTATGTTTGCTTGAGTGAGCATGCGTGTTGATGTTTGCGTGAGTGTGAATGCTATTTCATGTTTGCGTTAGTGTACATGCTTGTTCATGTTTGCGTGAGTGTGCATGTATGTTGATGTTTGCATGAGTGTGCATGCATATTGAAGTTTGCATGAGTGTACTCACCTAATTGTACTCACCTAATTGTGCTTGCGGGGGTTGAGCTCTGGCTCTTTGGTCCCGCCTCTCAACCGTCAATCAACTGGTGTACAGATTCCTGAGCCTATTGGGCTCTATCATATCTACATTTGAAACTGTGTATGGCCTCCACCACATCACTTCCTAATGCATTCCATTTACTAACTACTCTGACACTGAAAAGTTCTTTCTAACGTCTCTGTGGCTCATTTGGGTACTCAGCTTCCACCTGTGTCCCCTTGTTCGCGTCCCACCAGTGTTGAATAGTTCATCCTTGTTTACCCGGTCGATTCCCCTGAGGATTTTGTAGGTTGTGATCATGTCCCCCCTTACTCTTCTGTCTTCCAGTGTCGTAAGGTGCATTTCCCGCAGCCTTTCCTCATAACTCATGCCTCTTAGTTCTGGGACTAGTCTAGTAGCATACCTTTGGACTTTTTCCAGCTTCGTCTTGTGCTTGACAAGGTACGGGCTCCATGCTGGGGCCGCATACTCCAGGATTGGTCTGACATATGTGGTGTACAAGATTCTGAATGATTCCTTACACAGGTTCCTGAACGCCGTTCTGATGTTAGCCAGCCTCGCATATGCCGCAGACGTTATTCTCTTTATGTGGGCTTCAGGAGACAGGTTTGGTGTGATATCAACTCCTAGATCTTTCTCTCTGTCTGTTTCATTAAGTACTTCATCTCCTATTCTGTATCCTGTGCCTGGCCTCCTGTTTCCACTGCCTAGTTTCATTACTTTGCTTTTACTCGGGTTGAACTTCAACAGCCATTTGTTGGACCATTCACTCAGTCTATCCAGGTCATCTTGTAGCCTCCTACTATCATCCTCTGTTTCAATCCTCCTCATAATTTTTGCATCGTCGGCAAACATTGAGAGGAACGAATCTATACCCTCTGGGAGATCATTTACATATACCAGAAACAGTATAGGTCCAAGGACTGACCCCTGCGGGACTCCACTTGTGACGTCTCGCCAATCTGAGACCTCACCCCTCACACAGACTCGTTGTCTCCTGTTGCTTAGGTACTCCTCTATCCACCGGAGTACCTTCCCTCTCACTCCAGCCTGCATCTCCAACTTTCGCACTAGCCTCTTGTGTGGCACTGTATCAAAGGCTTTCTGACAATCCAAAAATATGCAGTCTGCCCACCCTTCTCTTTCTTGCCTTATTTTTGTTGCCTGGTCGTAGAATTCAAGTAACCCTGTGAGGCAGGACCTGCCATCCCTGAACCCATGTTGATGCTGTGTTACAAAGTTCCTTCGCTCCAGATGCTCCACTAGTTTTTTTCGCACAATCTTCTCCATCAGCTTGCATGGTATGCAGGTTAGGGACACTGGCCTGTAGTTCAGTGCCTCCTGTCTATCCCCTTTCTTGTATATCGGGACTACGTTAGCTGCTTTCCAAATATCTGGCAGTTCCCCTGTTGCCAGTGATTTGTTATACACTATGGAGAGTGGTAGGCACAGTTCTCTTGCTCCTTCCTTTAGAACCCAAGGGGAGATTCCATCTGGGCCTATAGCCTTCGTCACGTCCAACTCTAGTAAACACTTCCTTACTTCCCCACTGGTAATCTCAAACTCTTCCAGTGGTTCCTGGTTAGCTATTCCCTCACTTACCTCTGGAATTTCTCCTTGCTCTAAGGTGAAGACCTCCTGGAATTTCTTATTCAATTCCTCACACTTCCTTGTCATTTGTAGTGAATCCTTCCGTCCCTATCCTTAATCTCATAACCTTTTCCTTTACTGTTGTTTTTCTCCTAATGTGGCAATGCAACAATTTAGGCTGAGTCTTTGCCTTGCTTGCGATGTCATTTTCGTATTGTCTTTCTGCCTCTCTTCTCATCCTGACATATTCATTCCTGGCATTCTGGTATCTTTCTCTGCTCTCCAGTGTCCTGTTATTCCTATAGTTTCTCCATGCCCTTTTACTTTGCTGCTTAGCTAGCCTACATCTCTGATTAAACCATGGGTTTCTCATCTTCATTTCTCTGTTTTCCTTTTGGACTGGGACAAACTTGTTTGCTGCGTCCTTGCACTTCTGCGTGATGTAATCCATCATATCTTGGGCCGTCTTTCCCCTGAGCTCTGTTTCCCATGCTATATCTGTTAGGAATTTTCTTATCCCCTCATAGTTTCCCTTTCGGTATGCTAACCTTTTGGTTTCGGTTACGTGAGTGAACATCCGTCTTCTTGTTTTCGTGAGTGAGCGTGCATGTTTATGTTTGTGTGAGTGTACATGCCTGATTATGTTTGCGTGAGTGTGCATGCGTGTTTATGTATGCCTGAGTGTGCATGCGTACTCACCTATTTGTTCTCACCTAGTTTATTTTTGCGGGGGCTGAGCTCTGGCTTTTTGGTCATGCTTGTCAACTGTCTATTAACTGATTTTCAGATTCCTGAGCCTATTGGGCTCAATGAAATCTACATTTGAACCTGTGTATGGAGTCTGCCTCCACCACATCATTGCCTAATGCATTTCATTAGTTAACTACTCTGGGACTGAAAAATAATTCTAATGTCTCTTAGGCTCATCTGGGTACAACGTTTCCACCTGTGTCCCCTTGTTCCTGTTCCATCCGCGCTAAAGTGTTTGTTTGTCTTTGTCCACCCTGTCAATTCCCCTGAGAATTTTGTAAGTGGTTATCATGTCTCCCCTTACTCTTCTGTTTTCCAGTGATGTTAGGTTCAACTCCCTTAGTCTTTCCTCGTAGTTCATACCACTCTCTTCCGGGACCAGTCTGATGGCATAACTTTGAATCATCTTTAACTTTGTCTTGAGTTTAACTAGGTATGGACTCCAGGCTGGAGATGCATACTCCAGGATTGGTGTGACATATGTTGTATATAATGTTCTGAAAGATTCCTTACACAAGTTTCTAAAGGCCGTTCTTATGTTGGCCAGTCTAGCATATGCCGCTGATGATATCCTTTTGATGTGGGCCTCTGGGGACAGGTTAGGTGTGATTTCAACCCCCAGATCTTCCTCTCTATTTGACTCTTGCAGGATATCACCTCCCAGATGGTATCTTGTATTTAACTTTCTGTATATGCGTGTTCATGTTTGCGTGAGTGTGCATGCGTGTTCATGTTTGCGTAAGTGTGCATGCGTGGTCATGTTTGCGTGAGCATGCATGTGTATTCTTGTTCATGTTTGCGGGAGCGTGTGTGTGTGTGTTCGTGCATGCTATTTCATGTTTACGTGAGTGTGCTCGTCCGAGCAGAAGATTCATGTTTACGTGAGTGTGCTCGTCCGAGCAGAAGATTCATGTTTGCGTGAGTGTGCTCGTCCGAGCAGAAGATTCATGTTTGCGTGAGTGTGCTCGTCCGAGCAGAAGATTCATGTTTGCGTGAGTGTGCTCGTCCGAGCAGAAGATTCATGTTTGCGTGAGTGTGCTCGTCCGAGCAGAAGATTCTAAATTTATTCAATAGTTCTGCTTCAGAGTCAATATACAACTTTAAGGTGCAGGCAGGTGAGGCAATATGTTAAGTGATTTTTAAATTTATGTTTGTGCCTAATCTTGTGTATGTATGTAACTCATCTTCCTTCCTTCAGTCCTTATTTAAGCCCATTTAGTCCTCTTGATTAATGCCCATTTCGTTCTCTTGATTAATGCCCATTTAGTCCTCTTGATTAACCCCCCTGTAGTCATCCTGATTAATGCCCCTGCCCTCTCACCACAGCCCTGCCCTCTCATTACATCCCTGCCCTCTCACCACAGCCACTGCCCCCTCACCACATCCCTGCCCTCTCACGACAGCTACAGCCCCTCTCACCACAGCCCTGCCCTCTCACCACAGCCCTGCCCTCTCTCCACAGCCCTGCCCTCTCACCACAGCCCTGGCCTCTTACCACACACCAGCCCTCTTACCACAGCTCCTGCCCTCTCACCACAGCCCCTGCTCTCTCGCCAAAGCCCCTGCTCTCTCGCTACAGCCGATGCTCTCTCTCACCACAGCCCTACCTTCTCACCACAGTCCCTGTCCTCTCACCACAGCCCCTGCCCTCTCACCACAGTTCCTACCCTCTCACCACAGCCCCTGCCATCTCACCACAGCCCCTGCCCACTCACCACAGCCCTGCCCTCTTCCCACAGCCCTGCTCTCTCACCACACACCAGCCCTCTCACCACAGCCCTGCCCTCTTACCACACACCAGCCCTCTCACCACAGCTCCTACCCTCTCACCACAGCCCCTGCTCTCTCGCCAAAGCCCCTGCTCTCTCACTACAGTCCCTGCTCTCTCTCACCACAGCCCATGCCCTCTCACCACAGCCCCTGCCCCTCTCACCACAGCCCTTCCGTCTCACCACAGCCCTGCCCTCTTACCACACACCAGCCCTCTCACCACAGCTCCTACCCTCTCACCACAGCCCCTGCTCTCTCGCCAAAGCCCCTGCTCTCTCACTACAATCCCTGCTCTCTCTCACCACAACCCATGCCCTCTCACCACAGCCCTGCCGTCTCACCACAGCCCCTGCCGTCTCACCACAGCCCTGCCGTCTCACCACAGCCCCTGCCCCTCTCACCACAGGTGTTCTCATGGATCGCTGTGTTCGTGTTGCCGCTGAACGCCGCCATCAACCCCGTGCTCTACACACTCTCAACAACGCCCGTCAGGAAGAAACTCTCACACCTGCGTCAGACTGTCAGCAGCAGGAACACGCTGTCAGCGTCAGCGATGTCAGGTGGGTATCTACACCCTCAGTACTTACTCACCAGGTGAGTATCTACAACCTCAGTGCTTACTCACCAGGTGAGTATCTACAACCTCACTTCATAAGTCCTTACAGTAACACATCCAGCATCACACGACCTTACAGTAACACATCCAGCATCACACGACCTTATAGTAACACATCCAGCATTACGCGTCTACAGTGAAGTCGCGACCTGTCTGTAATGCACGCACACATGCAGCTGACTGTGGCCTCTGTCATGGCACTGCCGGCGTCTGTTACTGTCCAACAAACTTAATTACCCCATAATGACCCAACTAACACGCAAGATATTCAATTACTGTGACGACGTTACATTTCGTCTGGACACTTGAAAAGTCGTTGCTTGATAAGGGGTCCAAGACGAATCTAGATGTCATTGCTTGATAAGTGGTCATAGACGGATCTAGACATCGTCACTTGATAAGGGGTCCAGGACGGACCTAGACGTCGTTACTTGATAAGGGGTCTACGACGGACCTAGACGTCGTCGCTTGATAAGGGGTCCAGGACGGACCTAGACGTCGTCGCTTGATAAGGGGTCCAGGACAGACCTAGACGTCGTCGCTTGATAAGGGTCCAGGACGGATCCAGGCGTCGTCGCTTGATAAAGGGTCCAGGACGGACCTAGACGTCGTCGCTTGATAAGGGGTCTAGGACAGACCTAGACGTCGTCGTTTGATAAGGGGTCCAGGACGGACCTAGACGTCGTCACTTGATAAGGGGTCCAGGACAGACATAGACGTCGTCGCTTGATAAGGGTCCAGGACGGATCCAGACGTCGTCGCTTGATAAAGGGTCCAGGACGGACCTAGACGTCGTCACTTGATAAAGGGTCCAGGACAGACCTAGACGTCGTCGCTTGATATGGGGGTGCAGGACGGATCCAGACGCCGTCGCTTTCATTTCATATATGCGAGCTGTTGTGTGTTTTCAACCTCGCGATCATCACAAGAATTACCATAGATATCAATGATGTAGCCTTCACATCTGTATATATTTCTTAGGTCTTCTAAGATTTGGATTATTATTTGTTAGTGATGTGTTTTTGGTTTGAAGAGTGCGCTGGAGCAGCCTTGAGCCAGCAAGAGGTGGGTTGCGAGGGAGGTGAGGAGGAACAACGGTCGTGAGGTACGAGGGGAAGGTGGAGCGGTAATGACCGGTGTTTAGGGAGGGGGAACTGACTGCCGGCTAGGCAGTGCGGGAAGAGGGACGTAGGAAACTGACACTATCGATCCATGGACATGCCTCGCAAGCGATCTTGGATGGGTTGAAACCCTAGACATGGCGTATCAAATTGGCACTAATCTTTAACAGTTGGGCCTTGTTTACCCAGCAGTAATTGGAGACCTTAACGTGTTTCAGAGGCAACTAGTAGGGTAAGGGGAATCAGATTTCGGCTGCTCAGCTTCCCACCTGTATAAATATGAGGAACACACTATATTTATATTATGCCCGGCCATTTTCCTGTTGAATCTGTTTCATGACAGTACTTATTAAGTAATTTTCAGACGAAGAAGCCATGCCTGGACAATTATATAGTGCCGCCCGGCTCACATAATGTTGTTACAGTCCTATACGCTAAGGATTCAAACACGAGAGGAGGACACGGGACTATTTCCAAGGTGATGTATGCATTGACGACTCTATAGACACAGTGGGAATGTGGAGATCAGCAACACTCTTGTTATCTATTTACCGTAGAAGCGAGCCATTGGCATCAAGACTATATTTAGAAAACAGAGCCAAGGGGCTTCAAATGAGTCTCCAATTTACCTCTTCTTCCCGCTCAGAACACTAGGCCTAAACAGTCTAATAGGTGGTACAAGTGTTGTGCTAGTTGACTCTTCAGAGGTTGCATTGCGTGGCCTATTAGACTGTTTTACAGGAACTTTTTTTCGACGGCTCATGAAACAGAGGAAAGGGTTCTGAAAGATATTAATGATAGGAACGTTATCCTACAGACAAAAAATCAGAAAATACAATTGACAATTTACTACAAAAACAAAAAACGGCCAACCTACTCATTAAAAACTCCCCAGACACCAACGCCTTGAAGGAAACCAACGTCGTCTATGCCTTCACATGCCCGCTTGGGGACTGTAAGCCCCAAAGAACTCAGTATATAGGCAAGACAACAACGTCTCTTTCTAGGCGATTAACACTGCACAAACAATAGGGCTTCTTGAGGTTACCTTGAGATGATTTCGGGGCTTTTTAGAGTCCCCGCGGCCCAGTCCTCGACCAGGCCTCCACCCCCAGGAAGCAGCCCGTGACAGCTGACTAACACCCCAGGTACCTATTTTACTGCTAGGTAACAGGGGCATAGGTGAAAAAAACTCTGCCCATTGTTTTCCATAGGGCACATTCCTATGTTCGTTTCCTAAATGTGCCTAAATGCCAACAGCGACTGCCCAGACAGGTACAAGAGGAGTGTTGTTAACGCATATGTCGACCGTGCTCTCAGCCACAGCTCAGAATGGAAGCAAGTCAACGAAGAACTCTGTAGGGTAAGGCAGGTCCTAGTCAACAACGGCTTCTCCAATGGTTTCGTAGAAGACATCATAAGAAGGAAAGTGAAACGCCATGCAACCTCTGAAGAGACAACTAACACAACACCTATACCCCCTATTAGACTATTTTACATGAACTTCTTTTCCACAGCTCATAAAACGGAGGAAAGGGTCCTGAAAGATATTGTTAATAGAAACGTTATCCCTACAGACAAAAATCAGAGGATACAACTGACGATTTACTATAAAACCAGAAAAACGGCCAGCCTACTCATGAGAAACTCTCCAGACACAAAGCAGAACGCTGTAAAAGAGACCAACGTCGTATATGCCTTCAAATGCCCACTTGGGGATTGTAAACTCCAAAAAACCCAGTATATAGGCAAGACAACAACATCTCTTTCTATGCGTTTAACGATGCATAAGCAACAAGGCTCCATTAAGGAACATATAATCTCTTCCCACAACCAAACCATCGCCAGAGAAATCCTAGTAAACAACACAGAAATCATCGATAGATACAGCGATAGCAGACGGCTTGACGTTTGCGAGGCACTGCACATTAAGAAGTAAACACCAGCAATCAACAGCCAATTAATGCACAACTATATTCTACCCACCTCAAGACTCCGCTCCAATATAGAAGCATCAAGAAATATGGACCAATAGGCTTTCTACAATCACTTCCATTTCAATACCCATTGTTTCGTGTTCTGTCTTGTGTTGATGAAATTAATACCCTATTAAATACCACCTCACCCCATCCACCTCACTCAAATGTAGATATAAACAAATCGGAGATATGTAAGTTCTATTCAGTTGTGTATGTGTAAAGTCTTTGAAAATGTAATAAGTTTTACGAAACGCGCTCAAGTGTCGCGTCAGACTAGAAATAAAAATGAATTTTGGAGAATTGATTTTTGAATTACCTCCAACAGTGAAAAGAAATGTACGAAAAATTGAGAAAATTCGTGTTAGAATTATTAATCTTACTTTTTCGGTCATATTTAATAATATATATATATATATATATATATATATATATATATATATACAACTTTAGAACACTTTCCCACCAGGAGAATCGAACCCTAGCCAGCACAGAAGCCTTCCAGCTACTGGCAACACAGGTACGCCTTTAACCCACTGCACCACGCTCAGACCCTTGAAAGAGATAGTAATTTGGAGTATTTATACACCCCAAAGATTACCACCTCCCAAGGGCAACTAGAGCAAGTGTTCTAAAGTTGTATAACTTCACTTGCGCGTTTAGGCAAGTTGTGCATCAAGCATAGACACAGAGTTCTCCCATATTAATAGGGCCTTGATAAAAAACGTGAAAGTGACCCCTCACTTGCTCTAGTTGCCCTTGGGAGGTGGTAATCTTTGGGGTGTATAAATACTCCGTAATTACCATCTCTTTTAAGGGTCTGAGCGTGGTGCAGTGGGTTAAAGGCGTACCTGTTATGCCAGTTGCTGGAAGGCTTCTGTGCTGGCTAGGGTTCGATTCTCCTGGTGGGAAAGTGTTCTAAAGTTGTATAACTTCACTTGCGCATTTAGGCAAGTTGTGCATCAAGCATAGACACAGAGTTCTCCCATATTAACAGGGACTTGATGAAAAACGTAAAAGTGACCCCTCACTTGCTCTAGTTGCCCTTGGGAGGTGGTAATCTTTGGGGTGTATAAATACTCCAAAATTACCATCTCTTTTAAGGGTCTGAGCTTGGTGCAGTGGGTTAAAGGCGTACCTGTTATGCCAGTTGCTGGAAGGCTTCTATGCTGGCTAGGGTTCGAGTCTCCTAGTGGGAAAGTGTTCTAAAGTTGTATAACTTCACTTGCGCGTTTAGGCAAGTTGTGTATCATATATATATATATATATATATATATATATATATATATATATATATATATATATATATATATATATATATATATTATCAGCATTATTGTAAATTATATTATGTAAAATAATTATATAAATATAATTATTTATTTACGTAATATTTATATAAGATTTAACTAAGTGTAATCTCACCCCCGACAGGGAGTCGTGTGGCGTCGTTGTACAAGGTCCGGGGGTCCACGGACGTCACGGACATCGTCCGGCAAGGCGACACTAATGGTCGCTCCTCCGTCGCCACGTCTCCGACGTCAGTGTTCACGACGTCCACCTCACTCTCCCCAGAGGCTATCCCGTACGTGTTTACGTCTCCAGAGGTCGAACCTCAAGAGGTGGTTCCCAACGGCCCGGGGTCATCTCTTCTGCTGTCTGTGAGCGGCGCGGCGGAGAGAGTTCCCGTCAGTCTTTGTCCTCATGATTCACTCTCTGCACAAGAATGTCACCAGAGTCAAGGTCCCAGGGGGCTGGAATTCGTGCCCCTTGAGGAGCTGGCAATCACCCTCCCTGGGGCCAAGAAGGCCTCGAGCCGCAAGATAAATCGCAGAAAAAATCCCTCGGACAATCGATACGACTAGATAGTTACCTAGATGGCACCTTGTCAATTGTATCAAATGAGTATGTTTGTGTGTATTCAATATATGTATTTGTTTATATTTTCTAGTGACTGCATTGTGTAATTACTTAATGTCATTGATCGCACAGTCAAGTCAATATATATGTAAAGTGTTTTCGGTTTCAATATTGAAGACAATACAATGGGCATAACTGACAGTGGTGTAATTAACACGGAATGTCATTCCCTACTCAGGTAGGTCTTCAACCTGACAAGGTCACTCAACCATCGCTCGACGTAGGTCCATTACCTGGTCACTCCTTCCTTCAATCGGTTTTCGAGAGGTAGGGTATCATATTTCTCAGAAGTGCTAAATTAGTATGATTCTACAGCAGCACTAGGAAGGAATATGTGGAGAGAATAAGCCATGGAACCGAGTCATGCTTCCCGTTCTCAATACCTTCTTATAATAGTATCAGGATATAGCCGTAATACATAAATATGTATGATATCTTTATCGAATTAAAATTTAAGGAAACTTTTTCACCTGGTGTATATTTCAGATTTTAATATTCTGTAAATTTAGCTCTTTATCCACTTCCTAAAGTGCACTGTTGTATCTTATCACAATAACACAGTGGAGAAGGTTATGTATGGTCACAGATCTACCAGATATAATAAGCTAGTTTCACGAACTTTAAAATTAATATAATTCTGCCTCTTCCATGACTTCCTTAGAGACAGTATATAGAAATAGGAATATTTTCTTATCCTCATCAACTTAGATTTTATATATATGAATATATAAATATATATATATATGTATACACACACGGAAATCGCAATTGCGTGATGCATCAAATGAACAAATCCACCAGGGCCGTAACGAGGATTCGAACCTGCGTCCGAGAGCATCCCCGTCGCTGCCTTAATTCGACTGAGCTACGACATGGTAAACGGAGTTGAAACCGAAGTTCTACTGAACTTACTGGATCCTGCAGCCTCTCCGAGGTACAAACCAGGGTTTTACACAATTCCCCCCATGCACTCGAGCTATGTCAATAGGCCGTTCTCCCTCTTCGCCCTTACTTCATTCATTTTGACCTTTGTTTATGAGGACGTGCTAATTTTACCATGTCGTAGCTCAGTCGATTAAGGCAGCACTTAGAAAGGATTAAGACATAAAATTTCCTTAAGGAATATATTAAAGGAAATTTCCTGTCTAAATCCTTCCTCCATCTTCTGACATTGTGAACATTACACAATGTTCATCGCGTGTTAATTCTTTGCACATACACACGCCATCATCGGTGCTAAAAACAGAATATATTCATAGCAAAATTAGCTAAAAACAATTAAATATATATAAAAATAATATACTCAATAAAAATTACTAACATAAAAACCTAAACCTAAGCTATATTCAAAATAAAAGACAAAGATATATTCACAAGAACAAGAATACTAAAAGAACTCAACACCTACTTAAAAAAAGAAGACTATTAGTGTAAACCCGTCCTCAGACCAAGTCCATTCCAGCCAGCGGTCGACCTCGAAAACGCATTCAACAATTTTAACATGCCCTTCATTCAAAATAGGAATTTTCCCAAATATAATTTACTACTGTTACATATCAACATATTGTGCATATTTAAGCATTGGTTAAGTTAATTGTTTACGTTCTGTTGTCGATTATTTTATTTGTAGTACGTGGGTGAAGCATTTACAGCGTTGTGGTTCGAACAGAATTCGTCAACGAAGCACTTGTTCGAGAAGTGTTCGAACGTCATGAGTTGTTAGTCGTGTGTAAACCGGTTTTCATTTATAAACAGGGGGTTTGGCTGATGTATGGAATGGACTTTGGCCTTTGTTTATGAGGACGTGATAATTAGTGTACAACTGAGTCGACCACTCCGAGCTGTTCAACTCGGGTTTCATTTTAAAGATCGAGATACTCTCTAAAATATTGAGTTCAAGGTGAGACGAACTACAAGCAGCCCGTCCTCCAAACAAAGATTCAAAAGTGATTCCGTGCACCCGTAATACCCCCCTGTTTATGAATGGAAAACAGTTTACACACGACTCACAACTAATTATTTCGTTCGAACACTTCCGGAACAAGTGCTTCACTGACGAATTTTGTTCGAATCACAACCCTGTAAACCAACCCGTCCTCGACTCAAGTCCATTACATTCAGCAGTCAACCCCACAGACGCATTCATAAATTTTAACATACTGTTCACTCAAAACGGGAATTTTCTCAAATATAAATTAATATTATAATATATTAGCATATTGTGTATATATAGGCATAGGATAGGTTAGGTTAGGTGTTTAGGTTCAGTTGGCGATTATTTGTATTTGTAGTACGTGGGTGAAGCATTTATAGCGTTGTGATTCGAACAAAATTCGTCAGTGAAGCACTTGTTCCGGATTTGTTCGAATGTCAGCAGTTGTGAGTCGTGTGTAAACCGCTTTTCATTCATAAACAGGGGGTTTGGTGGGTGCATGGAATCACTTTTGGATCTTTGTTTGGAGGACGGGCTGTGTAAACAGCCCGTCCTCCAAACCTGACGTGTCGCTGCTTTCTCTACTTTTGTGCGGCATCGTTCCGCATTCAGGATTTGCTTGTGTTCTAGTATTGAACCCAGAGGAAAGTCGATTGGGTATCCCAAAAGCACGACTCGTGTGCGTCTTTCTGAAGGGTCCAGCTTTCTCAAGCATAAAGGTTTCTCTTGCAGGACTGTTACTCTAAGTAATTTGTAATCTATTGGTCTTGTGGTGTCATTATAATTTCTTGTTTCAATCTGGTTGAGCTTTGGTTGTTCTGTTCTATTGCCGTTACTACTCTATATGCTGTAGGAAAGTAGTCTGTCTGCAGGCGATGAGTCACAATAACGTGGCTGAAGTATGTTAACCAGACCACACACTAGAAGGTGGAAAGTCGATTGTGAATCGACATTCTCACAATCGAATTGAGAATGGTCCAGGACGGACCGAAACGTCGTAGTCCCTTCACCTTCTAGTGTGTGGTCTGGTCAACATTGTCTGCATTATCTTGAATTTTGAAACATGTGCAGTCTGGCGATGTCTGGTGGTGTCCTCTCCTGTCTCATACTGTCGTCTTGTGACTGGGTTGAAGACAGAGAAGCATTGTTTGACACTGGCTAGTGTGTGACTGGTGGTGTCCTCTCTAAGTCCATTATGTCTGGTGTATTACCGTTAGAAGCACTTTGTGTAGCCTCAACAGCAGTTTTTTTCTGGTGCCTGTTACACCTCAGTCCACTGTCCCTCCTCGTCTGAAAGCTGCCTCCATTGCCTCTTTCTCTTTGACTTCCCCATGACGTGTCCACGTAGTGAGGACCGATTCTCTGCCCTACCTAATGCCTGAGACTTTCCTAGGCCTGGAGAAATTCATTCATTTCCAACGGAGGTCGTAAAATTATTCCTCCAGGTGGAATCAGGGATACCTAACACCTACTTGAGAAATTTGGTCTACCTTTCCCTGTCAGGCTCAGTACCCTTCTTAGGTGTCCCCTTGTGACGATGCCCGCAGGGTATTCCCTCGCCCTACAGGGTAGGACTCTAAGTGACTTGGTCAGTGATACAGTCCTCAAAAAATAATAATAATTATAATTGATCATGGGCGACGAGTACGATACGACAGTTCGGGTTGCGCACAATACGTCTTCTGGGCAGTAGCTAATCAACAACATTGTTCGTCAATCAATTGTAGACGAAATCGGTATTGTTTCCTAACAAACAAGATATACTCTGGGTCTTGGAGAATTGACGTGTTCTTCCTCACAAAACCGCGTTGATTTGAGCTGATGGGTGCTCTGATTCTTAAGGATCCCTGAGAATAAAACCATGTGCGGCCAGCTAGCAATGGTGCCGGCAGCGAGTCCAGGTCATTCATTGATTTGTGGTTCACTAACATCATTAATTTAATAGTGAGTCATGGTTCACTGACGTCATTCATTGGATAGTGAATCATGGTTCACTGACGTCATTAATTGAATAGTGAGTCATGGTTCACTGATGTCATTCATTGGATAGTGAGTCACGGTTCACTGACGTCATTAATTGAATAGTGAGTCATGGTTCACTGATGTCATTCATTGGATAGTGAGTCATAGTTCACTGACGTAATTCATTGGATAGTGAGTCACGGTTCACTGACGTCAATAATTGAATAGTGAGTCATGGTTCACTGACGTCATTAATTGAATAGTGAGTCATGGTTCACTGACGTTATTCATTGGATAGTGAGTCATGGTTCACTGACGTCATTAATTCCATACAGTGTTTGAGTTTACGTCTGTCAACCTCTAGATGGTTATTGATGCCATCACAATATTTTGCTGGCCAACCACACGTCTCTAGTTGCCTTTAAAGCCTAATAGTAGTCTTATTTCTCCTGGACCACTACCACATGTGACCATGGTAGTGGTCCCAGGACCACCACCACCTGGGACCATGGTAGTAGTCCTAGGAACACCACCACATGTGACCATGGTAGTGGTCCCAGGACCACCGCCACACGTGACCATAGTAGTGGTCCTTGGACCACCACCACACGTGACCATGGTAGTGGTCCCAGGACCACCACCACATGTGACCATGGTAGTGGTCCTTGGACCACCACCACACGTGACCATGGTAGTGGTCCCAGGACCACCACCACATGTGACCATGGTAGTGGTCCTTGGACCACCACCACACGTGACCATGGTAGTGGTCCCAGGACCACCACCACATGTGACCATGGTAGTGGTCCTTGGACCACCACCACACGTGACCATGGTAGTGGTCCCAGGACCACCACCACACGTGACCATGGTAGTGGTCCCAGGACCACCACCACATGTGACCATGGTAGTGGTCCCAGGACCACCACCACACGTGACCATGGTAGTGGTCCCAGGACCACCACCACATGTGACCATGGTAGTGGTCCCAGGACCACCACCACACGTGACCATGGTAGTGGTCCCAGGACCACCACCACATGTGACCATGGTAGTGGTCCCAGGACCACCACCACACGTGACTATGGTAGTGGTCCCAGGACCACCACCACACGTGACCATGGTAGTGGTCCCAGGACCACCACCACACGTGACCATGGTAGTGGTCCCAGGACCACCACCACACGTGACCATGGTAGTGGTCCCAGGACCACCACCACACGTGACTATGGTAGTGGTCCCAGGACCACCACCACACGTGACCATGGTAGTGGTCCCAGGACCACCACCACACGTGACCATGGTAGTGGTCCCAGGACCACCACCACACGTGACCATGGTAGTGGTCCCAGGACCACCACCACACGTGACCATGGTAGTGGTCCCAGGACCACCACCACACGTGACTATGGTAGTGGTCCCAGGACCACCACCACACGTGACCATGGTAGTGGTCCCAGGACCACCACACGTGACCATGGTAGTGGTCCCAGGACCACCACCACACGTGACTATGGTAGTGGTCCCAGGACCACCACCACACGTGACCATGGTAGTGGTCCCAGGACCACCACCACACGTGACCATGGTAGTGGTCCCAGGACCACCACCACACGTGACCATGGTAGTGGTCCCAGGACCACCACCACACGTGACCATGGTAGTGGTCCCAGGACCACCACCACACGTGACCATGGTAGTGGTCCCAGGACCACCACCACACGTGACCATGGTAGTGGTCCCAGGACCACCACCACACGTGACCATGGTAGTGGTCCCAGGACCACCACCACACGTGACCATGGTAGTGGTCCCAGGACCACCACCACACGTGACCAT